AACACAATTGGCGTAATAAAAATCCAAGTTGGAAAAAAACGTTTAGATATGCCGATCCATATCCTTGGATCAACACCAGTACAACCTTTTGTACTGCTCTACCCATAATTCCTAATGGAAACCGATGCTCAGTTGTGCGAGATAAGAGACAATCGTTCATCGTCCGAAACACATGTAGCTTTGACAGTCTCTGTCAAATCTTAGTCTGTACAGCATCGCATAATAATATTTATAGAGACAAGATTAAAGATTATACATCTCCAATCTTCTCCTGTGTAAACGAATTGCTTAGGGCAGGTCTGTCGATCAAGTTTTATTTAAACAGAGTGAATGCCCTCAATATTCCACAATTGAAACCAGAAAATCGTCGCAATCGTATTATACAAATTGTTGCTACGGCCAACATTGCAAACATGGCGACTTTGATGTTCCAAGACTATCCAAGCTGCATTATAGAAAACATATATAGAAGCATTATAGAAAAACGCTGCGCCACTTACAAGAAAGAAAGCGTCAAACGCATAATTGTCATGTCTGTCGATTTTGACATGTGGATGAAAGATGGTGCGACCAGTCTTCCTGACGCTCTATATCGAGGCGATTCTCGGCCCAGACTATGCTGCGAGGAGTTTCCGATATGTGAAATAAAATATGGTCTGCAGTTAATAATTGAGACAGCTTTTGGCGATGATAAGTTGCAACGATTAAGAGACTTCCCAGATCGTCTCATAATGCCAGATAACGCGGGCTATCAGTTGGCCGGGATTGTGGTGTACGAAGGGATTTACAATGCAAACTCAGTAGGCCATTACATAGCGTACATTAAAATTGGCTCCATTTGGCTGTTGTTTGATGATATGAAAGCAAAGGCAAAGCCGCAGAATATCGACAGCGAAATCGAAGTACAGGCACATTTGTGCATATACGTAAGAGTATTAACCTTAACGTAAGAGTATTAACTAAAGTTTAACGCCAAAAAGACTACACTAATGCGATAAAACTTCATTCGAGAGATACATAACTTTTATTATTATTCTTATCTAATATATTTTATATATCTTATTTATTATACATTTAAAAAATTAACAAAAAGCATAAAACAAACCAAAAATATTAAAAAACAATAAAAAACCAAAAACAATAAAAAAACAATTTAAAAAACAATAAAAAAACCAAAAAAAATAAAGAAAACATATAATAACAAAAAAAAAAACAAATGGGATACATCTAGTATTTCATATACACTAGGATTTCAGCGGTAGCCTCCACGTGGCGTGTCCTAGGCAGACAAATAATGTAATTGGCTAATATCGTTAATATTCTTAAGATTTTGATTAACAATTTTCGATATGCTACACACAAGAAAATTGTTCAAAATATCTAGTTTCTTACAATTTAAAAAATTAATCTAAATTTAACAGCATTTATTTCGAAAACCATTGATTTTTTTAATTTCTCCGTGTGTAAATGGCATTTTCAAACTTTTAGATACGATTTTTAAAAACAGTTTTGAATATACCTACGTATTTATCTCTGACTGAGATGCGCTTCAAAATTCAAGAGATCCCACAGACTCTCAAGTAAAGTTACGAGTGGCAAAAAATATGTGTGGGACCTAGAGTCAACAATAAATTCGATGATACATGAAGAAAAAATTTAGTTTACTTTACGCAGTAAATATATTGCACATAGAATGGATTTTAAGCTTTATATTCTCATTTTCCGATGGTGGAATTAGTTCAGTTATTGCTGGTGCAATTATTTCCCGTCCAATTTGAAAATATTACATTTTAATATTCACAAGACTAAAATGGTTGTTAAGTTGCGAAAGAGAAACATAAAAACATTTATCAATAAAGACATAGATTACGTTATTTTTATTAAAAAATCTATAAAATTAATAGAATAATTTCAGATTCTAATTTTGGTGGTAAACCAAATTTTCATAATGGAAAAATAGTTTTCACATAATTCAAACAAACAGAAAATTTTTTATAATTTTTTTATAATTTTAAAAATTTCAATGCTTGTGCTGACTTGTGCTAGGCTAGCACAACTCAGATATGCAATATTGTCCTTGTCGGATAATTAAAAAGCGAAATTTTGGACATAGAATCCAAGCGAAAAGAGTCACGCTCAAGAGTAAAGTGCCGTTAATATCGCTGTGCTGAGAAAATCAACGGTTGTGCTGACTTGTGCTAGGCTAGCACAATTCAGATATGTAATATTATCTTTGCTTCTTCGAATAATTAAAAAACCGAATTTTGGAAAACTGCGTCGTATGTGTCGGCGGCGCTGCGATTATTTTTTAAATTTCGATTTTCTAATAAACTAATTGCGTTATCAAACTACGATTTGTGGCACAAGCTAGTACAACTCTAGCACAATCCAACACAACTTTTTTTTTTGGTTTTTCAAAATGTCGGTGCTACGACTATTCTTTTAATTGCAATTTTCTAATAAATTAATTGCGTTATCGAATTATGGTTTGCGGCACAAGCCAGCACAACCCTAGCACAATCTAGCACAATTGTTTTTTTTTCATTTTGACAAAATGGCCGTGTTGGACCTTAAAAACGATTTTTTGCAATTTTCGCTTTATTTTTTGAGATATCGAAGTACGGTTTGCGGCACAACATAGCACAAGCCTAGCACAATCTGGCACAACTTTAATTTTTTTCATTTTTTAAAATGGCGGTGCTAACTTCATAAACATAAAACATTCAGATACATGACACTGCCACTGCAAATGGACAACCGGACAATCACGCATAACTTTTTTATCCTCCCACATATGGAGGATAAAATGATCATAGGAATCGACTTGCAATACCGACTTCGCTTGGGAATCCCTCCCCCACCAAGATACATTAGGAATTGGCTTCCGAGATGCAATACAATCGGAGAACTAGTCGTGCAGACTTCGGGCGAGGAGAAGCAACTGCAGGAATTTCTAAAACAAGAATTACAACAATTCGAAAATATCCGCGGACTAACCAGCAAAATGGAGCATCACATATACCTAAAGGATGATACGCCCATCAAATAAAGGTACCGACCACACAACCCAGCCATGCAAGCAATTATTAATAAAGAGGTGGACGAAATACTTGAACAAGGCGTAATTGAACCATCACATAGTCCATGGAGCTCATCTATCGTGATAGTAAAGAAAAAGGATGGCAAACATAGATTTTGCATAGATTTCCGACGATTAAACGAAGTGACACAGAAAGACGCATATCCATTACCACAAATTACCGCGACGCTAGATAAACTAAGAGAAAGCGCGTCCACGCTCGACTTAAAAAGTGGATATTGGCAGGTTCCGCTCGCACAGGAAAGCCGACCATTGACTGCGTTCACGATTCCAGGGAAGGGATTGTACCAATTTACAGTTATGCCGTTCGGGTTGCATTCAGCACCAGCTACGTTCCAAAGATTGCTAGATACAGTCCTCGGGCCGGATTTAGAACCGCACGTATTTGTCTATTTAGATGACATTATCATAATTAGTAAAACGTTTCACGAACATCTCGAGCTGCTCGCCAAGACCTTCCGTCGCCTTCGAAACGCTCAATTACGGCTGAACTCTGACAAGTGCAAATTCTGCGTAGACAAGCTAAAATACCTGGGACACATTATGTCGATAGACAAAGAATGGATCCGGACAGACCCCGAAAAGGTTAACGCAGTGGCTAATTGGCCAGAGCCGCGAACAGTCAAGCAAATTCGGCAATTTATCGGGATGACCTCATGGTACCGACGGTTTATTGCGAGTTTCTCCGAAATAGCCGCGCCGTTAACACGACTTACAAAAAAGAACGCACGCTGGCCGTGGGGTGAGGAGCAGGAAAAGGCTTTTCACTAAAGGAAAAACTGGTCTCCGCTCCAGTTTTAGCCTGTCCGGATTTTACAAAGCGATTCGTATTACAAACCGACCAAGCACCTCCGATTTCGGTGCGGTACTGACGCAGCAACATGAGGACGGAGAAAGAGTGATAGCGTATGCAAGTCGAACATTAAACGCGGCAGAACGAAATTACACTGCAACAGAACTCGAATGCCTGACAATTGTCTGGGGAATCCGGCAGATGAAAAGTTATCTAGAAGGCTATGCCTTTACCGTCATAACCGATCATCATGCCCTAAAATGGCTGCAAAAATTAGAATCGCCGACCGGACGACTCGGACGCTGGGTATTCGAATTACAGCAATACGAATTCGATATCATTTATCGCCGAGGGGTTCAGAACCGCGTGGCAGACGCGCTGTCACGCTGCCCGGAAATCTGCGCCGTCAAACAAGAAAAATGCAGCTGGTAAGACCGAGTGATGAAAGAAGTACGCCAGGATCCAGCCTCCAGACCAGACTACAAGATTAAGGAAGGAAGATTATACCGACACATCCTGTATATACTAAATTTCAAGGATAAAAGCAGCAACGCCCAGTGGAAGGTGTATATTCCAACCGATTCGAAAACAAGTTCTCCGAAAGTATCATGACGAACCAACAGCCGGACATCTCGGCATCGCGAAAACCATAGCGAGAATTGCCGAGGGACACTACTGGCCAGGGATGTTCCGTGACATCACGAAGTCCGGAATTGCAGGAACTGCCAGAGTCACAAGGCGTCCCAGGAAAAACCGGCGGGAAAACTACACGCAACAGAGGTTAAAAGACCCTGGCAGCAGGTCTGCATCGACCTTATCGATCCAAGGTCAAAAGAGGGACATATTTGGCTTTTAGTCATGCAAGATCGATTTACGAAATGGACCGAACTAGTGCCTCTACGCCGAGCCACAGCCGATGCCGTCACACAGGACTTAACGAATAACATAATTCTGCGGCATGGAAAACCAGAAGTCATCTTATCAGATAACGGCACCCAGTTACAAAACAATTAGAGCAAAGATTAAGGGAACGTGAAGCACGTGACCACACCAGCGTACGCACTACACTGCAACCCAGTAGAAAGGACTAACCGACCTATAAAAACGATGGTCAGCCAATATATCGGAAAAGACCAAAAAGCCTGGGATGAAAAATTAAACGCGATCCAGTTCGCATACAATACAGCCGTTTACGACGCCACAAGATATACATCAGCGTTTTTGAATTACGGCCGCGAATTGATTTCACCCGTGGACGATAACCCGTCAGACGAACAAGCACCCGCTCCGGAAACAATACAAAGACAGCTGCAAGAGGCGAACGAGCTAATGAAGATTAATCTTTCACGAGCTTTCGAAAAGCAAAAACACTTTTACGACCTAAGGAGAAGAGCCTGGAAACCGCAGGTGGGCGATTGGGAGAAAGGACCACCAACTCTCGAATAAAGCAAATAATTTTAACGCAAAGCTCGCGCCAAAATACGACGGGTCATACGAAGTATGTCGGGTGATCTCGCCGGTAATCGTGGATCTCCGTAGCAGGCGAGGAAAGTGGCTCCGGCATATACACGTTCAAGACTTGAAATCGGCGAAAAACGACACCGAGGACGAGAATAACAATAACAACAACAACAATGACGAGAGCGAGGACGAAAACGAGTGACTGGAGCAACGGAAGTCACTTCATTTCGACATGTCGAACAGTGAGGATATTTTGAAAGCCATCAGCGAATACCTCGGAGAGCCAGCCGAAGAAGAAGCGCAGCCCGCGCCACCGGCTCCGCCACCCGAGCCGCACCAGCAGCCGCCAACGCCGCGGCTGCCGAGAGTCGAAACAATCGTGCAGAGATCCGACCGGGTCAATGAGCAAAAACGGCTGATGCTCTTGACCCCACCGCCGCCACCACCTGGGCGTAAGCCGATCCGGCCGTTTGAGAAGCCGCCGAAACCGCTGCAAAAATCCGCAGCCGAGACACAGCCACAGGAAGAGATCCTGCGGCCAATGTGATCGATGACAGCACCACCCATCAAGGTGGAAATCGAGCCCGGACTCATAGTGGAGGTATCGCATTTCGCGGTACATGTAAGCCGCCGCTACAAGCCGAGGACTCCACGATGGATTCTACGCTTTTCAGGGGACGGGAAGCTCCGCTACAAACGGAGAATAAGTTAGAGCCGTCCATCCCAGGGGATCCACTCGTCCGACCGTCCAGCAGTCCGACCATCCGCTCCGAACATAAACGTGTGCCTCAAGTTCAGGCACAATTTCAAGGGGGGGGGGTGATGTAACGATGCACCCCGTGCACCCCCTTAATCGCATCGTTTTACCCGGCATGCGATCCACCGGAAGCTGCCGCCCGGCAGAACATCCGCCGGGCAAAGGCAGGGGCGCGGTGCGCCCACATTTTTTTTAACTATAAAATATTTCAAACGGCGTTAAGCCGTTAATTGGCGAGCCAAAAAACGCCGGAGATTGGCGAGGCGCCCCGAACCGCCGACCGGCGAAAGCCCGCGTTCGGCGCAACACCCGAACCCCTCCGAACGAGCCCGACCGTATCGTTTTCCCGAAACCCGTTCGGAAGATAATGCCGCCGCTCGCCCACGCGTGGGTAATGAGCCGGTATGGAAAGGACATACTCGGCAATCTAATCACCTTTTCCGATTCCGATCACGCAAGTGAAACGTCTCACAACCTAGACCGCTTCTAGTAAACGCAGATTCTAAAACAGAGGTAGAGAGCACTCTTCCTCTATCGAGAACTCTCGATTATAAACCGGCAATCCATCCAGCCACTTTTTCCGACCGCAAAACGAACCCGAGCGCACTCCAGTTCGACCGAGGGATCTCGATAAAACGGTCCAGCATCCGACCGCCTAACGTTTGTGCATCATATCTCGAGGCAGAGAGAAGAGTTGCCTTGGACGAGTATCTCTCGTCGGCACAACGTTCCCAGAAACTTTCCAACAATACCGGGAATTACATTCATATTTCCATCAAAGACGCGTACGCCGAATACAACAGGTGATTCGCGGAATCGCGTACGAAAAGAAATACGCGCGCTTGCAAAAACGTAGCTAGACCTATCGCCAGACACGCGCGCATAGAAAAACGCGATGCACATCGTCAACGGTCATTCACCGCGCCCGGATGTAAACACGCGCGGCATACGAAACATTGTACCGAATACATCGACGACAAATATTACCGCATTTATTATAATAACCCGCTGCATTTGTATTACGCGTTACCATCCAACATATAAATACATATATTTTAAATATTATTCGTGCGACTCAGCGCGGCCACGAGTACGATCAGCTAACGCAACCGCGCGTGCATTTATAATTCGATCTCGCGCAGCAAAACTTTCCACACGCATCGCGTCTCGCGCAATCAACATACATAGTGCAACACGCACACCTCAAATACACATTGTAAACCACATACGCATATACACCCGCGCGCACACACACACACACACACACACACACACATACACACACACACTGTAATATATATATAATAAAGTCTTTTTTTTTGTACACGTACACACTCTCGTTATCAGTATAACCATCGAACGAATCCTGATCCCGACTCCGGCTATCCGATGGCGATTCATGCGGAATTCGCCCGTGACATTGTGTATTGTTTCCGGAGCGGTTTAGGTTGCGAGACGTTTCACTTGCTTGATCGGAATCGGAAAAGGTGATTAGACTGCCGAGTATACCCTTTTTATACCGGCTAATTACCCGCGCGTCGGCGCGCGGCGGCATTACCCCTTCCGAACAGGTTTCGGGAAAACGGTCGGGCCCGTTCGGAGGGGTTCGGGTGTTGTGCCGAACGCGGGCTTTCGCCGGTCGATGGTTCGGGGCACTTTAGCAATCTCCGACGTTTTTCGGCTCGCCAATTAGCGGCTTAACGCCGTTCGAGATATTTTATAGTTAAAAAAAAATGTGGGCGCACCGCGCCCCTGCCTTTGACCTGCTGGCGTATGCAGTCTGGTAACAGAGTGCGAGAGCTAAGACGTTTTAATAAAAATCTTGTGTTCTCGTAGTATATTATTAACAGTGAAAATGAAGTAATCTCTACAGGAATATAGGGATATGATTGTGGCATACGGACTAGCGGGTGAAAATACTTATCGTGCGGCCGCAATTTACATGGAATTTCCCGGCCGTGCACGAAAACCAAGTGGCCGTACAATTTTACGTGTTGTGCAATAATGATGTGAAACTGGGTGTCGTGCATAATATCGGGATAACAGGTCCAGCAGTACACCTTCGTGTACGTCATTTCATGATTGAAAAATGACGTCAAAATAATGTTATATTAAAACGTCAATATAAAATCATGTAACAAATCAGTCATTTTGACGACATATGACCAAAAATGACCAGTTTGTAACGTCAAAATGACGTGTGCTTGCTACTTGGGTAACTTAAAAGAAGAAATGCCAAAAGATATGTGCATGTAACTGAGGACCGATTGTTCCAATTTTTTGGTAAATTTTACCTAACAGGTAAAATATCTGCGTTTTTCAAGTTCCCAAAAAGAAACAAAGATATAATAAAAGAATAAATATAATCATCACATAATCTGAATAAAAGAAAGATCTTTACTAAAAAATTGGTTTATATCACGTCTCCATTTCTAAGTAAAAATATGGCTACGGAATTTGGCATCAGATTTGGTAGATGCCATTGATCGTTTTATACGCTTACCTTCCTCTTTATCTAATTTCCTTTGCTTCGATTTACATTTAAATATGTATGTGTTTATTATTGTAAACTGATTTATTAATTGTATAGTTGCTTTATTAACAAGGGGAATATCAAATAGTGAAACCCAATTTTGACGAACTTTAAATATGTTTCAGAACTAACCTTTTATTTTATACAGACATATTTTACGCCGCATTTACGTCTATAACCATACGAATATTAATTCCATTTAATAAAAACTGTAAAATCACATTTAAATTTTGGTTCATTTTTATATTTATTCGGAATTCTCTTTCAAAGGTTACATACTTTTGAATGATAATCATCGAAAAAATATTTGAAACATAATGTCATTTTACATAGAGCACATTGAATAAAACTTACATCTTTTAATTGACAATGGCACGGTTTCTTTAAGATTATTAATATAAGATATTAATATAATTATTAATAATATATATTAATATAATTATTAATAATAATAAAAATAATATAATTATTAATATTAATAATAATAATAATACAACTATTAATATAAAATATTAAATTTAATAATAAAAATAATAATAATAAAAATAATATTAAAATAATATTATAATAATAATAATGTTACGTCCATACCCTGAAAGGATGGGCTGTATGGAAGAACGTAACTTACTTATCCCGTGACACACTTTATTCGGATGTGTGTATGGATCGGGTCGAACGAATATGAAAAGCCTGACACAGGTCAGTGACCAAAGATCTCTTTAACTCTGCGTTTTTACGCCTATTCGTTCGGTGGTTCCTTTTCGGTAAAGGAATTTAATCGTTGTTACGCGGGATAGGACCTAGTGCGATCTCAAGGAAGAGAACGAGTTAAATAATTAAATTCTACATTAAATTAAAAAATACATATATTATATAAAAAAAATAAGGAAAGAAAAATACATCTTAGCAGTTGTAGTTTTAGTTGTAGTTGTAGTTTTTCTTAAACACAGGTTCAAATTAAAATACAATAATAAAATTAAGATAAAAGATTAAGTCAAGTCTAAGTTCGAAAATTATTCATCCATTTCAATGATTTCTCCCAAAGTAGTGATAATACAAAGGAAAATAATATAAAGAGGAAGAAAAAAAAAGGAAAAATAATAATAATAATGCAAGGAATGGGAAATTAAAAGAAAATGAAAGGGAGTAAAAAAAAATAGAAATTAAGAGTTAAATATATATAAAGAAGGGCTTAAACGAAATATAAAGACAGAAAACAATACGAATTTTTGGTAAATAAATCAAAAAAGGCAACTAAAAGGAAATGAAAATTAAGGAATCGTTTGCGAACCGCCTTGCGGAGATTCTCGACGAACGGGAAATTGTTCGTGAACTGCCTTGCGGAGATTCTCGACGAACAAGGAATTGTTCGTGAATCGCCTTGCGGAGATTCTCGACGAACAAGGAATTGTTCGTGAACTGCCTTACGGAGATTCTCGACGAACAAGGAATTGTTCGTGAACCGCCTTATGGAGATTCTCGACGAACAGGGAATTGTGTAAAGGTGGATTAAGGAAAAGGAATGAGCCAGAGAAAAAAGTTTAAATAGTTGATTTGATGAAATGAAGATGAAATGAAGATAATTATTTTATTTGTTGATTTAGGTAAAAATAAAAAAAGATATCTTTCACAATGACAACTTAATCGTAGAAGGTAAAGGGAGTATAATCGGATGAGACTTACTAATTATTGAGT